GCCCCTCAGAAAGCAAAACTAAGAAAACAGACTTTTGTGGATTTTTTTTAGAATATTATTCATCTACGTAGTATAGCCGCCCCTCAAAATAATAGCCAGCACATGTATATTTTTGTATATCAATGTATATAATATACATATTTTATAGATAGTCGGTGTATTTTTTTTCTATATTTGGCTACGACTGTAATTATTTTTGGCCAACCGGACAAATGTGTTAAAAATCTTTCTTACCATAGTACACAGTTCCATAACCTCCATCACCAAGTTGTTTAGAAGAGTTGAATTTGTTGGTGGCTTCTTCAAGTTCTCTGTAGGAGAATACCGGGATTCCAAGATATTGGCTACGTTCCTCGATCTCTTGATGAATCATTGAAACACCAGATGTATTTCTTGAAAGAAATGGTGAAGAATCATTTTTCCTCCTCTTGCAAAACCATATAACACAGGCAATTGTGCAGAGTCCAAAAAGTAAACCGATAAATGCTGAAACTGAAGCACAAAATATACCGATCAACAACAACAACAACAACAACAACCCAGTATAATCCCACAAGTGGGGTCTGAGGAGGGTAGTGTGTACGCAGACCTTACCCCGGCCCTGGGGGTTGGGTAGAGAGGTTGTTTCCGATATACCATCAAGAAGATGAAATAAGACAATAGAATAGTAACAACAACATGCACCAAAAAGATAGTACCAACGAGACACAATATATCGATCAAAGGACATAATACAGTGTGGACTAAAGTTGAATAAATAGTACAAAGACTAAATCTTGTGATGGACAACAACAAAATAGTAGATAATGGAATAGGTAAGTACCTGCAACAATCACTTTCACTTTTTTATTTCCTGCAACCATAGTAAACAATGCAAATGTAAGTTGAACCAAAGTTTATAAAAACAGAACCAAAACCATTAATGTGAACCATGACAAAAGTTCTTTACCTTTGGTATTATAACAATGAAATTTGTTAGTAGTTTCATCAGTTTGACATCTGCCTCCTCTATAGTAACACCGATTACACTCATCAGACACAGTCCATCCTAGTACAACTTCATCAGTTAACATACCAAATAGGCCATTTTTTTCTGATTTTGATTCTGAATTCGGTGGCACGGGCAGCCGAATAAAGGAACAGCTACTAGGAAGAGGAAATCCTGGATAGTAATCCATTGAGAGGTTATAGTATAATATGAAACTTTCACAGCTATTGTAGCTGTGATATCTTGTGGAAATGAAAACTTCTTCATGTCTCTTTTGGCTATTATTGCATTTGAACAAAGTGAGATAGGGGCTGAATCTATATGTGATTGAAGGAGAGATTGTTAAAGACAGATTTCTATCAAAAGATTGGCAACTCTTGTTTTCCAAAAGATTTCCAAGAATAGTGTCCTTAATTTTGATGAAAACTTCAGATTTCTCAAGTGCTTGATATTTCACTCCATCCAATTCAATTATGGGATTTGGAGTTGCTTCACAATCCACTTTACACAAACCACAATCAATTTGTGTGGATTTGTAGAAAGGAAAGCTCAAATTTCCTAAGTTTCCACATTGGAATTCTTTAGTACAACTTGAGGAGGATGTGTTCTGTCCTAGAGCTGAATTAAAGCACCAAAAATGAAACAAAATGGAAATAAAAAACCAAGAAAATAAATCCATGATATACCCTTTTGGATAAAAAAGAAAAAAACAACAACATTAACAAGAATAACCAAGAATGTTTTAACAAAATCTTAAGTTTGCAGAGTTTCTTTTATTGTTTGTTTTTGCTTAGCCATAGGATTTTGCATTAATTTTTGTTGTCTTTTGGACACGTTAAGTTGACTTAAACATGTGGAAGCAAGACTTTGAAGAAAGACAATCTAACGGAAGATTGGCCAAAATGGAGTGTGGGACCTTGTGACTTTTACACAATGGGGAATTTTCTATTCATCTTCCTTCTATTTATTGAAGCGGCCACAAATGCTTGTATTAGGATAGACTGTCCAGCTCACACTCCCTCGGGTACGGCTCTTCCCCGACCCTGCATGAACGCAAGATGCTTTGTGCATCAGGGGCAGAGACAGGGTGCGGGATGCAGGTTCGGCCGCACCCAGTAGCTTTCGTTCAAACCATGTATTTATCTTAAGAAATCCATTGAATATGTATAACTTATTAACTTAGAACTCAGTAACTTAAAAAGAATACAATCCCGAACCCACACGGTTCAAATCTTGGCTCCGCCTCTGTATGCATCAAGCTGCCCTTTGTCTTCCTTAATTTATTAAGGTTCAAAGACAAAAATGTTCCTTGTATTAAAAATCCACTGACGCGACTAGTTCAGATTCATATCACGCAAGTGTGCAAGAAAGGCAAAACGTTGCTACCAAAAAGTTATTTAATCTAAGGGCTCGAACGCGAAACATCTTTCCCACCACATCATTTGAGGGTGAGCTTTGAAACATGACTTATTAAAAAGAGAACATTTCAAATCATTCCTCCCACATATAAGATGACCCCATAAAGTAGTTAGGAAAAATGAGTACCTTCAATTAAAAGTTGAAAAAGACACTTTATATAAATCCTTTTCACTTTTGGCTCTTCTTGGTATATAAATAATATTTTTATGGGGAAAATGGGCAAAGAATTAAATTTTTGTTTTGTTCTTTTCCATTCTTTCTGAATGAAGGATGCCATATTGGACAAGATTTAAGAAATCAAATAATCTATTCAATAATCCCTAAATTTACCACTATCCAAAAGTTGCCATTTTTGGTTCAAAAGTTGGGGAGCTTAAAAAATCAGCCTATTTATCATATATTTCTAGTGTTAATTGTTTTACACTGTTTTATATTAAAAACTTGCATTTTACGTCAAAAATTTTCTTCTAATTTTTTTTGAACCGAAACTTATTTAATACATCCAAATTACTTCTAAACTCTGCCGAAAATGAGTCATTTAATGCGATGGAATTCTTAAGACCAACTTAGACCATTCTAAATCAAGATTAGTGGAATTCTTGAACACCATAATATAGTTATCTATATAACTTACTTTATTATTATTTTTAATTAAAGACAGTAAGGTGTCTAGTTCTTATTAAACAAGAAAAAAATAAGAGAAAGTTTAAGACAATTCATTCAACTTAACCTCACTAAGTCAAATATAGAGTAACCAAACATCATCTTTACATAGATAAATCTACGAGGAAGAAAACCTTAAATTTAAGCTATATTGCTCGGACCCTTCAAAAATACCACAAGATGTATGTCAAATACTCCAAAAGCAGTGTATCTTGGGAGGATCCGATACGGGTGCAGTAACATTTTTAAAAAGTCCGAGTAACATAAACTTTAAGTTATATTTTCTACACTGCAACATGATACAAAAGGGGTATTATCACTTTTAGCCCGCGCCAGAAACTATTTACATTTGATAGCCGAAAAATTATTTACTATTTACTTGTATAATTTGTATATAACACACATAATTTATATATATACAAAAAATATACACATTTTATACATTTTTTCGCCTATTATTTTTACAACGGCTATACAATGTCATTTTTTGGATACAAAATGTCCAAGTTATTTTGCTAATTTCACCAACCATTTTTAGTTGCATTTTCATGTCGAAATCCACACAAATATTGGCCATATAAAGAGTTCAAGTTATGTTGGTCAATAACCTCATCCGTCTTTTCTTGAACTAATTCAATCTCTTCTAGAGGAATCAACATCATTTTTATGATCATGTGACTTATCATACATTTGCTCCTCTTGATATATCCAATAGCCTACACTTGCAGCATAAGAGTTTTTCTACGTGGGGTCGGTGGCAAAGCCAGAATTTTCACTAAGGGGAATCAAACTATAAAGAAGTATACGAAAAGTTAAGGGGATTTTTTTTTTTGATTTCCCACCCGGTGTCCGGTACCCGTATTGGAGCCCGACTATATCCGGATTCGCGCCGCGTTAGGGCCCCATTCGGGGGAAGCGCTCCCTACCAAAAAAAATTTCATACCCAGGGCTCGAACCCGAGACCTTTGGTTAAGGGAAGAGCAGTTCTATCTACTGCACCATATTCTTTGGTGGTAAGTTAAGGAGATTCAACATATACTATATACACATTAGAAAAAAAATTAATCTATTGGTATTTTTCCGGCGTCCTTGGACAAGGATGGATCCGCCAATGGATCGGTGTATAAAAGTGTGATATAGTTCTTTTTATTTTGCTTTTCTCATTTTTTTTGGTGAACTGAATAATTATAATTAACTAATAATTACATCATAATCATGTGTATAGAGTTGTCCAGGTGGCCAACATTGTATCCAAAATATTAGCAATATTACATTTTGTATTTTTTCTATCAAATGTATTTCCCGAGATGTCTGCCCACATTGCATCATTAGCAAACACCGAAGGAACTGCCAAAATATCCTTGGTTTGTCAAAAAGCTTCTTCGTTGCTCCCTCTTTAGCTAGGAGGTCCGCTACCCGGTTATGCTCCCTGTAGTTATGGCTGATGACTGGATTTCCCTGTCGAGCCATCAACAACCTACATTCAGAAATAATGGGCTTATAAGGCAAGTGTCCTGATTCCATCATATTAATAATTTCCCGGTCTATGATCCAAAATTTATTTATAAAAACAATTTTTTGATATGAATTTTTGTTTTGGTGGAGGGGGTAAGTTATTATATGTTTCATGTAACTCGAAGTCAACATCCAAAGACAAAATTTAGCAGCAATAGTCCTTTTTGATGATGGTGAAATATAATGATGACTATGATGATAGTGTAAATTGTTAAAATTATTTTTGAGTGGCTAGGAAAAGATAAGAGAATTGATGTAATTATATATGCTTAAATATTATTTCAGATATGCTTCAGTTCCAATTTTGAATGAGTTAATTCAGAATAGGAAACATTTTGACAGGCAATATAACAATGAGCATGAAACAAGTTATAAAATAAAAAAAAAAAAAAAGTAGTCCGGTGCATTAAGCTCGCGCTATGCGCGACGGGTCCGGAGAATGGCCGGACCTCAAAGGTCTATTGTACGCAACCTTACCCTGCATTTCTGCAAAAAGTTGTTTCCACGGCTCAAACCCGTGACTTCCTGGTCACATGACAACAACTTTACCAGTTACGCTAAAGCTCTTTAGTGAGCATGAAACAAGTACCTACTAAAATTCAGTTAATGTTATGACTTGGCTCAATTTTCTGTGTATTTCTGCTTATCAACATGATCTAGGAAACAAAAAAAAAACAAAAGAAAAAATCATATGAATCTCATCTACTAGTGGTTGTACTTGTACTAGAGTCACTAGTCCACATTTGAGTTACAGAATTTGGTGAAGTTAAAAACTTGTTTTTCTTCAATAATACATGGTCTTCTGATTCAGGTGAAAGAGGGATTTCTACACTCTCTTTACTGTTAACATTACCCTCCATTTTCTTGTCATGTTTGAACTCACCTTGTTGAATCTCTTGCAATGTTTCTAGTACTTCAACCATACTAGGTCTCATGTCCTTGTCGAGTTGTAAGCATCGAAAAGATAGCTCGGCCACTAAGGTAGTCATCCTCGTAACTTCTTTATCCGAATGAAAACCAAGAGATTGGTCTATCAAGTCGTCGAATGCACACCTTAAAATCCTGTTTATAGCATAGTTAGACAAGTTGATCTCTTCGTTACGTCTACTGAAATCTACTGCAGGCATGGATGATATCAGCTCAACGAGGACTACTCCGAAGCTATAAACATCACTTTTATCGGTCAGCTGGTAACATTCGTGGTACTTTGGATCGACGTATCCAGGGGTACCTTGTGGTGCAGTTGATATGTGAGAAATGTCATTTGGATGAAGTCTTGAAAGCCCAAAATCTCCGACTTTGACACTGAAGTTCTGATCAAGTAGTATGTTGTTACTTTTCACATCGCGGTGGATTATACCAGAAGCATGCAGATAAGCCAGAGCACTGGCAGCTTCAATAGCAATTTTCATGCGAATAGGCCATGTGAGCGAGCAATCCTTCGCCTTATGACCATGCAAGTGATCAGCGATCGTTCCATTAGGGACATACTCATAAACAAGTAGAAGTTGATCGCTGAGTCTAGACGTGCAACCATAAAGAGAAACAAGATTTCTGTGCCTTAGCCTTGTTAGAATTTCAATCTCAGTGATAAACTGCTCCTTTCTCCTAGCATTGTGGTCGTAGAGGCGTTTCACTGCAACTTCTCTTCCATCCTGAAGTTTCCCTAGTTTTTAGTACACAACAATTAGCTTCAAGAAAAAGAAAAAAATGATGGTCAGCAGTGGCGGAGCCACATAGCTAATTGACACCCCTTCGTCGTGAAAATTACACTGTTTAGATAGGTAAACTTTATTTTTTTTTAATATATGGAATCCCTTTCCCTTGACTTATTCGTGTATTTCTTTAAATTCTGATATCTCTTAATGAAAATTCTGGCTTCGCTACTAATGGCTAAATACCTGCATTATTGAATTGAGGGTTGCTTCTAAAAAGTTTCTTACCATAGTATACTGTTCCATATCCTCCATCTCCAAGTTCTCTGGTGGAATCAAAATTCATGGTAGCTTGTTGAAGTTCAGCATAAGTGAAGATGGGAACGCCAAAGAACCCGCTGTCTAACTCGTAGCTTCGTGTTGAGGGGTCTGAAGGGATGCTTCTCGGAAGAATATTCGCAAAACTTCTATTACCCTTCTTGCAACAGCAGATTATAAGTATCACAATGCTGATTGCTATGATCAAGAAACCACAAAGCACTGCAGAATACATGAGATATTACACAAAGTTACATTTTTATGATTGTGGTATTGAAATGGATACATATTTGTCCCTCAATATATAAAAGAATTCTAAGTTTGAGCAGAACAATAGGATATTTATTGATTATAGACATTTACCTGTGCCTAAAACCAGTCCCAAATTTCTTTTTGCTGCTGCAGAAAACACAAATGATAGATTAATTAGTCACAATAAGACTTAAAGCAATGCACACATGTCATATTAAACATATTGGAAGGTGCCAAATAGCAGACATTTAAAATCCTTTCCAAAATTGAAATAAGATCTAAACAAGCAATTGACAAGCATTAAAATTTAAAAGGGCAGCCTGGTGCAGTAAGCTATCGGTGTGCGCGGGTTTCGGGGAAAGGCCGGACCACAAGGGTCTATTGTATGCAGCCTTACCCTGCATTTCTGCAAGAGGCTGTTTCCACAGCTCGAACCCTTGACCTCCTGATCATATGACAGCTATGTTGTGCAGACCTTCCAAAATGGCACCGCACCCGTGTCGGATCATCCAAAAATGCACAATTTTGAAGGATCCGACACACACTCACTGACATGTTCGGAGAGTCCGAGCAACATAGCATGACAACAACTTTACCAGTTACGCCAAAGCTCCCCTTCTACAACGGACAAGCATTATCTATGCAATATTACCTTTGGAGCAAAAGAAGAGGTTTTTGCTGTTACTTTGGCATTGCCCTTCTCTATAGATACAATCATAACAATCTCTTGACACTTCCCAATCTAACTTGAACTTTGAACTTAATAGATCAAACAAATCATTAGGAATTGGTTCTGAAGGCGAAAGAAACGTCAAAGGCAATCGAATAACTGCACAATTTGCAGGAAGAACACCAGTTGGAATACTACGCCTTCGATTTGTTCTTGGTTTATGATAGTATAAGCTAAAGCCATCACATTTCGAGTAGTTCTCATAACTCCGAAAAAAACCATCTATCTCCATACTTCTATTCATACATTTGAACAAAGTGATATTGTTGAACACTCCAAATGAAACAGAAGGAGAATTTGGAAAAGATAGATTCCTTTCAAAGGATTTACAACTTCTGTTAGTTAAATAAACATCAAGAATAGGGTCCAAAAGATCGATACTGTTAACCAAAAACCACTTCTTGTATGCATTGTATAACTCTCCCTCAATCTCAACTTTTGGATTTTCAAGAGTGTTATTACAATCAATCTTGCATAATCCACAATGAGGTTTCTTGATTTCTGAAAATGGATAACTCATATTTCCAAGCTTTCCACAATTGAACTCTTTTGGACAAGATTTACTCTCACCTTTAACCAAGTTGAAGATAAGCAAATGAAACACCAAAACCATAGCACAAAATAATATTGCAGCCATTAGTCTAACTCTAAACTTCAACAAGTTACATACAAATATAGAAAAACTATAGACAAAATATGAGTACCAAAATGTTCTTATGTTCACTCTGAATCCCTCTTATACTTGACTTTGGACTTTCTTATCTTGTACCAATAATTCAAGAAACAGACATGTAAAAAATATATAATTTAGCAATAAAATAAAAGCCAAAACCAGTGGGGACATTTAAGGCTGCAAATTTAAATAAGAAATCAAATATAGCTAGCCGAATAAAAAGACTTACAATCATTTGACTCTTTAAAATAATCATTTTGTCAAATTCCAGAATGTAGTTTTGAATGAGTCTATGCCTGGGTTTCTACTCCATTGTATTTTTCTGAGAACAAGTGGTGACAGCTAAATTTATTATAATGCAATTTCCTTAAGAATATAAAGCTGTACTTTACTTTGAGACTAAACTTGTTTGAATGTGATCTCATCAGAATAAACCGTTAAATAAAAGGGAGCAAATATATAAAATCTTTGTTCAATGAAACATGATTATAGAGGTGGAATATTCTTTCTTCTTTTTTTTGTCTTGTTTTTGGCAGGTCAACCATTGGCTAGAGCCAGAATGTGAAATAGAATTAAAGGAAATGGTCAAATTTGCCCTTGTACTATTCGAGATTGAACAATTTTATTGGTCTAATATTAGCCCTACAGTTAGGAAAAAGTCTCGTGTTGGCCCATAACCTTAACGAATCTCCAACTTGAGGATACTTTTAAGAAAAATTGGCATCCTATAACAACACACAGTAGAAATTGGTAATTTTTTAGCCTTATATTAATTTTCGTAAAGATAGCCCCAAACAGTTGGCATTATATAGTCAAATCTAAAATAAAAAAAACTACACGCTTATTTTGGCTCCCCTCTCCCTTTCTCTCCTTGTATTTCTTCTTCTATCTCTTCTCTTTTGCTCTCAAAGTTTAGCAAAAATTCTTGCAAATTATGCAAAAAAAATCAGTGGGATGAAAAGGTAAGGTTGATCTAACATCAAAAGCAAAAACAAAGAGAGAAAAAATATATTTCATCTTTGTTTTTCTTCTCTCTTCTTTTTTTTTGGTTGGATTGAATGAGTAGGTATGATTAAAATTGGATGAAAATACCTCATGAAAATACCTAAACGAGGCTATATACAAAATTTGAGCAAGATTAACAAAAACTAAGAAAGAAAAAATATATTTCAACTTTGTTTTTCTTCTCTCTTCCTTTTTTTTTTTGGTTGGATTGAATGAGTGGTTATGATTGAAATTGGTTGATAGTACCTAAACGAGGATATATACAAAATTTGAGCAGGATTAGAAGTGATTTAAACTGGTTTCAGGTAAAAAATCAGACCTAAAAATCAAACTAATGTGTATATCACGTTGTATATCGAGTACATCAGTTTGTATATCACACACAGGTTTTAAGGACGTCTGTGTATATCAGTTTGTATATCATATACATAATATAATTTTTTTATGGACGCCCGTGTATATCATATTGTATATCATATATATAACACATATTTTCATGGATATTCACAGATACACATAATATACATGAGATATCACTGATGTACATAGAGATATACACGAGTTACAATTTTGGTATACACATGTTCAATGTACTATGCACTGTGATATACAAATAATATAATATTTTTATTGTGATATACATTGATATAAAGGTAGCAACAACTATATGTATAATTTTATATTATTGATATACAAAGAATAACATTATTTTTATACAAAGAATGAAAATAAAATTTTAATATACATGTTGATGTAGAGATAGAAGAAAAAAAAAAGTTGTGATATACATATTATTATTGTGATATATTTATTGGCTATTTGATGCCAATATCTATAACTAGGGCTATTTTCTGCCAATTATATGGGTATATTGTTATACCATGCCAAAACCCCTAATTTTAAACCATAGTCCAAATTTGAGGATAAATTTAGAGAATTTTTCATAAAGCACCATCTTTTAGGTCTAATTAGCCATTTATAGATACCTTTTGTTATATTACGTGTTATAGATGCCTTTTATGTGGTTATATAATGTATCTGATGTATTTAAGTTATTGTATTCATTAATACAATAACAAAAATAGGCGTTAAAAAGGGAGCTAAGGTTGATATGTATTTGACTGTATTCACGCGGTCTTATCGTGAATACAGTAACGTATTTGTGTAAAATCTGCAAGGTTGAACTAGTTAAAAACGGAAAGGAAATCAAATCACCTGATATTCTCCTAATTCAACTCAATGAACAAAAGCTATTACCCATTAATCTGTATTATTCTATTCACGATTCAACAAAAAAATTAGCGAAAACAAGAGCAACATCTGTTCGCAGTTCTTCCATTCACTTCTCCTTTTTCTCTGTTCGCAGTTCTCAATTCAACCATGGAAAATTACGATTGATACAATTGTATTCAAAATACGGTATAGTTCCATTATACATATGATAAGTTTAACGATGTTGTTGCGTCATTCTGGCAAGTGGAACGATGAGGGCAATTACGTCAATTTTTCAATCGAGGAATACTGATAAAGGAGTATGTGTCATATAATGATTTGGTTGCTTCAATTTCTAATCAACTGGGCATAGATTTGAGCACACAGTCCATTAAAATTCAATACAAAGTAGAAGGGAATACCATGCCAATAGAAATACACAATGACATGGGTTACAGGGTGTATATAGAGTTGAAAAAAGAGAACAGAGAATTCGGGATGTATCCTTTGTGCATAACAACGATTGAAAAAGAACATGTATCCTGTGGTACTTTAAGTGAAGGAGATATTTTGCAAATAGACAAATCTCTCCAAAGGTATGATTCTGATACAGATGATACGCTTGCTCTAGATCTTATCAATTCAAGAGAAGCAATTGGGGTGTTTGAACTGAACAAGGATTTGATAATTTCAAAAACTAATCAAAGGGAGGTTATTGTTGGACAAGTATATAAGGATAAGGCTACATTGAAAGAAGTGATGGAGAATTATGCTATATCTCAAAGGTTTCAATTCCGGGTTGATAGGCCTAATGCTGTCTGGTTTGCGTGTATTTTTTTTTTGTATTCTGTATTATTGGTTCGAGCTGCAAGTTAAACGTTGATGTATTTATGCGTATTTGTGAATTTTCACTTGATCATCACTGATGTGTTTAACATATGTTTGTTCATGGTCCTTAAATACATGTATTCAAATGTATTTTACTGGTATAATTACATTAAAGTGTCTCTAATTATTTTCGTATTTTGTTTACTGTCCTTTTTAAGTGTATGCATATAACAATAATTGTATTCAGTTATATATATATATATATATATATATATATATATATATATATATATATATATATATATATGTGTGTGTGTGTGTGTGTTAGAATATATTCATGTCAGATTGTATTCGTGGGTATATGAGTGCATATTTTTGTAAATACTTATGCTAATCATATGTACAATTATTAATTCTTTGCAGATATGCATTATTATGTATTTCAGAAGATTGTGAATGGAGGTTTAAGGCTTCAAGCATTAACAAATCAGAGCTTTTCAAAGTGAGAGAGTTCATTGATAACCATACATGTCCGCTGAAGGACAAGGTGTATGAGCATCGACAGGCAAGTAGCAGCCTTATAGGTAGTATGATTAGGCCTAAGCTTACTAATCATAAGAGGAAATACACTCCAAAGGATATTATTGATAATGTGAAATCAGATTTAGGTGTAGATGTTAGCTACATGTTGGCGTGGAGGGCTAAAGAAAAGGCAATGAATTTTTTGAGAGGTGAACCGGCTGATTCATACAAAAAATTACCAGGATACTTATATACAATGGATATGACATATCCAGGTTCCCACATCAGAATGGTAAAATCGCCCAAAAATGAATTCATGTACGTGTATATATCTTTGTATGCCTTTATAAAGGGGTTTGATCATTGTAGACCTATTGTTGTTGTGGATGGAAGTCACCGAAAATCTTACTACACCGGGACATTCGTTTCGGCAAGCACGTTGGATGGTGCAGGTGAGTACGTGAATTATAATAAAATCTGTTAATATTTTAAAGATTGACATATATGTTTTAAAAATATGTATTCAACTGTCTTTACAGGTCATATATTACCACTAGCATATGGTGTTATTGATTCAGAGAACGTTGCTGCTTGGACGTGGTTTTTTGAGCAATTCAAGATAGCATACGGTGACAGGGAAAACATGTACATCGTTTCAAATAGAAATTAGAGTATCATTAAATTTGTGTCGAGAGTGTATCCAGTTGTACCACATTTTGCTTGTATATGGCATCTATGGAACAACGTATATAAGAAATTCAAAAAGAGCCATGCCAAGTGGAGCAAGATATACTTCTCGATGGCAAAAGCATACACACAAGCTGAATTTGACAGTCTGATGGAGATAGTGGAGAAGGTAGATATTAGGGTGAAAGAATACTTGGAGTTAACTGGATACGAAAAGTGGGCTAGGTTGTATGCACATGTTAACAGGGGATGGACAATGACGACAAATATTGTTGAGTCAATCAATGCCGCACTAGTGTCAGCAAGGGAATTGCCAATATACGACTTCCACGAAGAAGTTAGGAAGATGTTTGGACGTTGGAATTGTAATAACCACAAAGAAGCTACACAGACATACACAACGCTTGGAAAAAAATACCAAGAAATGCTGACTTTGAATGAGGCAATGTCTACATGCATGACTGTAATGTCATTATATTATATAGCTTAATTGTTTTCCGAAATAGCTGACATGAATACAACTAAATACAACACATTTTTATAATACAACTGTCATGAATACATATGAATATAACTAAATTCAACTGCATGCAACACATATTTTATCGAAGATCTGAGTTGAATACATATGAATAAAACTAAATACATGCTACAAAAATCAACTATTCGAATACATAAGAATACAACTAACAAATCTGTATTATACAGAATTTTTTATACAGACGTATTGTCATTCCGTAGCCTTCTAATATTTTTGTTACACTTCAGTTGCCTAAAGTACAGCAGATTTTTGATGTATGTCATTGTATTCATAAGCTAAGACGTAATTATAGTTTATAGTTTGTCGGTCTAAATATATGATGTATTCTTCTGTATGCAATCATTTCAGTTATATGTAACTGAGTAATTCAACATTATACATATGGTAATTCAATTATATGTGCTCAAAACTTATAGTTCTATGTTTAAATGTATATGGTACCATCAACTGAATACTTACATACGGTTAACGATGGAGGGAGGCATTACATCGTCTGCCTGTTAGAGAGAAAATGTGTTTGTGGGAGGTTCCAAGTTGATGAATTACCATGCCCACATGCTTGGGCTGTATTGAAGAGCAAGTTTCTAATGCCAGAAGAATATTGCTCTAACTATTACAAACCAAATTCTGTTGTAATGACATACGATGTGCCTGTGTACCCGCTACTGGATAGAAATGACTGGAATATACCAGCACATGTTGCAGAGGAGGTTGTATTACCACCCAAATGGAAAAGACCTCCTGGAAGGCCAAAAAAGAAGCGTGATATACCTTTAAGTGAATTGTTGCAGCCGAAAAATCAACATTCATGTAGCATATGTGGGCAGGGAGGACACAACATGCGAACGTGTAAAAATGCTCCACGTAGCATTTAGTTAACGCTCTGACATGCATTAGTGCTCCAAAGATTTGTCAATACTTATGATGACATTGTCAAGTAATAAATTCTCAATGTCAAGTAATAAATTCTAAAATGCCTTTCGTGAATAGATTCTGGATACATTTAGTTGCAGTACTGTGTTGGATACATTCAAATACAACCTTGTACACATATACTTTGACAATTTATTATAGACAGTGCCTGAGTTATATATATAACTAGTCAAAATACATCGGAATAGAACTATATACTCAGCTATAATATAACAAATTCAATAAATACATATAACATGATTAGATTCTGTATACATTTAGTTGCAGTATTGTGTTGAATACAATCGAATACAACCTTGTCCACATATACTTAGACATATAATCATAGACAGTGTCTGAGTTAAATATACATAACTAGTCAAAATACATCAGAATACATCTATATACTCAGCTATAATATAACAATTTCAATAAATACGTATAACCTGTTTAATACATCTGAATTTGTATTCTTTAATATGGATGAACTGAATTTGAAAGATACAACTGAATATAGCTGAATACAGAAAAATACATTTGAATTCTTTAATACAACTTGTTCAATATACATAAAGTTTCTGACTTTGATATTAACCTGTTCAATACGTATAACCTGTTCAAGCTAAGTTACTGAAAATTAATACATACATATATCCTTTAAGGTACATATGAATATAAACTGAAGATTAAGCATGAATACTTATGAACAAAATAATGAAATAACGATTGAAAAGTTTCAATTGTCATACACGAACACTGTTGATAAAGTGCTGGTTTTTTCTAACTGAATACCATCTTCACCAAAAAACTATTCAAAAAACAGTATTCACCTAAAAACAACATTCCAAAACTACATTCACCTAAAGCTACTCTAACATTATCTGCAACTTTGAATCTAACTCCGTGATTTGCCTAGCAATCTTTGAGGATGCTTCATTCTCGCTTATGGCATCAACGTCTATCTTCCGCATAGCATAGTCCCAGAGGAGAGCATCATATCTTTAACGGAGTAGATTAGAATCAAATGTTGCTTGTGGAATCTCACCAAGAGTGCTCAGAAACTCTGCGTATGCCGCAAGATGCACCCCACAATCCCTGAAAAATGTTGGTTGAAACAATTAAAAATAATTCATACAATTAGATTTTTAAAATGATACAAGAATGATGATTTAATACATACATGCTTCCAGCTTTCTGTTGAGGCAGATTTAATATGAAAACAACTTCAAAGGGATCAGTATGTGACTTGTCAGTGTATGCTGAGTAAGTAGACCAATCTATGCCTTGACTATCTCTGTAAAAGCCACTAATTGATAGATACAGAAGTGCAAGCTTAGATAGCTTATCTATCTCATAAGCTACATAGGCATCATGTCATGTAGATCTGTACGAGTCATACACTTTGATACACCTCTCCTTGAATGAGACAACAACCAATATCTAGTGTAGTTTGTCCTTCAAGTTGACTGGTATCAAGACATTATCAACAGTATGCCAAGGTACATTAGCTAGCAATCTATAGCCCCTTATGTACTCACATACCACATCCTCTTCTTTGGCTACATTAGCATTACTATCTGTATCAGCATACATGTCAAAGATTTAGCGATTCTTTTCTTGAATATACAATCAACAGTTGTATACTTGAAGTTGTTTGTTTGGTTGTACTTTCCCTTCTTTCTCAGATAGTAGAATATGACGTCAATATGTTATACACAAATTTAATTACATAGTGTTAGTCCAATACATCACACATATTAAAGAATAATACAGCTGAATACAGAAAAATATAGCTGAATATAGCTGAATACAGAAAGATACATATTAAAGAATACAACTGAATACAGCTGAATAATACAGCTGGATACAGAAAAATAGATCTGAATTTGCTTTATTACAGCAGAAATTCATGAATAAAGAGGCAATTAAGTACATAATAGAGATTCAGTTAAATACATGTTATTCAAAACTAATGAGTCTATTAAATACATATTACTGTAATACATATGTTAGTTACAAACTACTGATAACTTTGAAAATTCAGCAGAATACATTAAACTATAGCAGTACTTCAGGAATACTGATGCCATTAAATACATCATACAAATTCAGTTAAAAACATGTTGCATTTTCAGCTAATAAAAAATGTTAAAATACATCAGAATACAATTAAATACAACATATTTATTAGTACATATTCATACAATTGAGTACATCAAAGTAATATAAGACAAATTTGGGTTAGAGCTCAATTTGTTAATTATACAATCAGACAAACCAATACTAAAGAAATGAATTATAGTGGATTTGGAAGGGGTAAAACTTACATTGTCATCCCATAGTTTACCGTCAAAAGATAGAATGTAAAACCAATTTTTTGAATTGACTTGATCAACTCCAAAATTCAATGGTATATGAAGTGTTGACTTGTTCTTCTTGTAATGGTCTTCCAAATTACTTCTACAAGTATGATATAAAAAAGGGATTATATCCATTTTTAAAAATATATATACGTAATAGACATACCGGAAAAAACTCACTTCTGCTCATGTCTATCAAGAAGACCATCATTAACCCATTTGTCGTATTCCTGATTAATTAATGTAGGGTGCGGCCCCATTATTGAATCATCCTCAAATGGGTGTCTTTTTTCAAAAATGGGGGTCAACATTACTGAGGTACCTGTTGTTCATTGAATTCATGTATAGAGAGTTTTAATTATAAAAAACTAGGTGAAATAGATGATTAGTTTATAAAACACTAACCTGCGGAGTCGAAGTTAGACTTATAAGGCGAAGAATACCATTTACTTGGTCACCGATTCCTATGAGATGGTACTAGGGTTGTCACACCTCCTTTTTACCCACGCCCGCAGGGGCGCAGAGGGGGTTTTTCCAATTAAAGGACAATCGGAACGGGATTTATTTATTAAGATTCAGAGTCGCCACTTGGGAGATTTATGGTGTCCTAAGTCACCGGTTTAGAATCCTATATCGAGGAAAAGAATGACTCTGTTTAACAGTCCGCGAACCAGAAATCCGAGTAAGGAATTCTATTAACCCGGGAGAAGGTGTTAGACATTCCTGAGTTCCGTGGTTCTAGTACGGTCGCTCAACTGTCATATTCGGCTTGATTATCTGATTTTATACAATTATGAACCTACGTGCAAATTTTAACTATTTACCGCTTTTGTTATTATTTATTCAAAGAATTTCAATGTCATGAGAATACATCTCGACTTGCGCCACATAAATGTACCCGCAATTTTCGATACGTTCCAACTTCGTTGAGATTTGGATTTGGGTCACATAAATGTGCACCCGAGTTTGGGAAGATAACATTATTAAATACGCGCCTAAAGATACTAACGCGTTGTTATTTTGAGAAAAGCCGTAAAGTTCGCTATGCGACATGTCTCGAAATCTAAGCATTTGAAATAACTGTCCATTGAGGGCCCCGCAGTTTGTGTATTCTTGTTTGTCGAGGCTCGTCTCATTCATTATTTTTTTTAAAAAGGAATTTGTAACGTCATGGAAATGCATCTCAAACCACGTCACAATCAATGTACCCGTGATTAACGACACATTTCGACTTCGTTGAGATTTGGACTTGGGTCACATAAATGTGCACCCGAGTTTAAGAAAGTAATGTTATTAAAGTACGCGCCTAACCATGACTAACGCGTTATTACTTTGGGGAAGGCCGTGAAATTTGCTAAACGGCCCATCCCGATCTCTATGCATTCATGATATTCATTTGTTGAGGGCCCCGCAGCTTGTGCGTTTTATTTGGCGAGGCTCGTCTCATTTTTTTTTTATTTTCAAAGGGTAAACCTAAAGCAACTATGATTTGCTATTTTAATTGTTTCTAAAGTAAAAGAAGAACCTAATTAATTACAAGCGTGCAATGTCCCAGCTTTTGTTGTTCGAACCAACAACTTAACGGTGACGCACCTCAACGACAATACATACCTTTATTTTAATTGACAGATGTGAACTCCCAAACTTCCTAAACTAATTTATCATACCCATTAACTA